TTTTGTCAGATTGCAACTGAAGTGAAATAATCAATTTCAATAGTTTTGGCTATCATGAAATAGGTGTATTTCATTTTTAGGAGTGGTGGTAGTAGGTGATAAATAAAGATATGTAAGATATATTCTCTCTGTTTATATAAAATGATGACCAGAAAACATGTACATTCACATCTATGTATTTTTGGCCATCAGAGTTATGCATACTTTGGCATCATAATGCAACACTTGGAAGAGTGTTGTACAGAATTCCAGTTTTTTGGTATGGCAGTGAGGTGCCTGTGTGGTACATGACACGGGTGGGAGTCCAACAATAGCATCTGCTTCAAAACTCCACCTCTTGGGCTTTATAGGAGAAGAGCTGTTGGATGTAGCAAAAATTTGGGTCAGTCAGGATTGTGAGGCTGCCTGCATCAGACAAAATAAGAGAGACAGAAGCAACTGCTATGAGATGCCCTTAGGGCAAAGAATTTGGAAAGTGAAAACACCAGCCATCATCCTAAATTATGCTTTTTGGGTGGGGGCCAAGGGCTTCAGCAATATTTGCATGTACTCTTTCAGTATAAACACTATATACACAGCTTCTAATATTGACTAAAGAAGTAAGTGGTGAATGTATTTAGAAACAAGTAGTGGACAGAAGCCAGAAGATGAAACACAAATTATAAACCACAGTAATTTTCTTTTAAATTAAGATGACATATAAATGTCAAGCCAATTAAAGAGAACACATATGTTTCTGGTAGTACCAAAGAAAAGAAACATTACTGTAGCAGCTCAGAAAGTGCAACTAAAACTGTACAGTTTACTTGTATGTTTTGGTTAGGTTGACCTGAAGAGCTGCAGGGTCGATCTTTACAGAGCAGTTTTTATCTTTACAGAGAAGCTGCTGTGGAAGGCTGGGAAATGCTGTTTATGCCGTTTGCTTTGATGGGCTTTCCCTCCTCAAGTTGGATTTAAGTCCAAGGACCTTTCCCCATACTTACACACTGCTAGTGCTGGAGAATCATAGAGTCATATCTCAAGTTGGAAGGGACCCATAAGGATCAAGGGTTGGACTTGAAGGTCCTTCCCAGCTGAAACAATTCTGTGGGCCTGTGATTCTAAGAATCAAGAAATCACAGACTGACTCCAAAAAATGCATGCCATGATTCAGTTATATTAGGTGGGGTTTCTACTGACTGGGGAAAAAAAAACAAAAACAAAAACAAAACACCAGAACAAAACAGGAAAGAGAATAGTCCTCCTCTCAGCTGCAGGCAAATACCCCTTTCTGTTTTCAGAATGGATCTGTATTTTGATTGATTACTGCTACTCCTGTCCTTTCCCAGCTCTTTTAAAGCTCTCTTCTGTAGGCCAGTTCTTCTACCTATAGCTAAGCCTGACTTCAGTTTTTAAGTACTTCATGCTAGAACAGGCTGGGCTATGGAGATTCAGAGCTGTGATTTTTTTTTTCTTTTTTTTTTTTTTTTTTTTATTTTAATCCTCTGGCTTCTTGCTGCCTTTTGCCAACAAAGGGGAAAGAGATTTTTTTCCCAGCAAAGACTGCCCAGACCCTCAGCACTAGCAGCCCAGCATCACAGGGAAGGAACTGCACCAACCATGTATCTATAAAAAGTAAAAATATAGGTAGGAATAAATATAAACATCTAAATATTATGTATAAAAAAATGCCAAACAGGCTAGTTGTCAAAAAAGTACCTGAAATGCTTCCCTGTTTCTCACCATGAAGAAGATTCCCTCCTCTTCCCCTCCTCCCCAGCACCACCTCCTGCCCCTTCTTTCGGGGAAATGACTTCAGAAAATTCTTTGCCCTTAGTTGAATATTAGCTTACAGAATCAGTTCCCCTGATTAACTTTCTGATTACGCCCTGTGATTAACTCTGGCTGGGGATTCTGTGTGCCTTGTTCTGTGCATCAGGGAATAGGGCAACATTAGTCTCAGCCTCCCCGAGACGAAAATGTTTTTTGGCATAAATGCCTTGTCTTTGACTTAACACAAATAATGCTGGAACAGGGTGAGCACAGAGTGCTTGATGCCCATAACCAGGGTCCTGAACTCATGTCAAAAGCAAGGAGCTGGTGTCCTGCTCCAGGCTGCTCTGACTTGACCAGCGATTTCCAACGCACCAAGCAACAGATGGATGTTCGGCTTCAAGGAGTCATGCTGGCATCTGTCATCCCTCTTCAAAATACCAGGTTATTTCCAGTTCTGAAGTGAAGGAAGGCAAGTGTGACTGAAGTGCAGTGCTCACGTGTGCAGGCTGTTTTGGTGAAGAGGAAGCCCCTGGGCTCCGGTGAAACGTGGAATTTCTATTTTTTCCCCCCCTGGACTTTGCTTTCAGTGTTCTGCAGGCACCGTGCTGAGGTACACTTGCTGTGACACCCACCCCTGGACACAGAGGGCCACCCTATTGAGTGTGACCATTCCCTCGAGCAGCCATTGGCCCTTGCCCACCCTAAAAAGGGGAAACCTTGTCATGCTGGGAGGGAATGGGGAAGTCAGCTTGGTTCCTGGGATATTGTCAATGAGGAAAAGTCTGGGAACAAATGACAAGGCCCTTTCCACTGGAGGTGCTATGGGTGTGTGTCTGCATAATAAATGAAAATGCACCTGAATTCCACCAGTGGAAGCTGGGGGTGACGCAAGCCATGGAATGTCCCTGGGGATATGGGCAGGCTCAGGAAGGCGCTGTAACTTCCATATGGAACAGGCTACTAAGTATAGCACTGGAAACTGCAATCAGGAATGTATTTTCTGCAATGCTAACCAATTAGAGGGACTGACATTAAACTGGTAATCAGTTTCCACCAATTTCCATACTGCAGCTGTCACTTTTCTGGATCCCCCCCAACTCGTTCCTAGAAAGAGCTGTTGAAAGTGTGTGTCTGCAAGTGACCCGAGATGCTGGTATTGCAACAGGGATGCTGTGGTTGCACCACTGGAAGGATTTGAAAAGAAAATAAGGGCCTTCAAGGGCTTAGAGCTGCTGCTGAATCAATTACCATACACTTTTACGTAGAAGTAGCATAGAGCAGACTTCTCTTTTACACATTGGTGTCTGCTGCTAAGGCTATTCCACAGCCAAAGGAGAACCTGCCACGCTGGCAGAGCTCTGCCTGTCACTAAATGCCACTGATCAAAGGCTTTCAAAGCTGGGCTGGGTACTCAGCTTGTGCCTCAGAGCTGTGCCAGGAGGACCTGACCTGCACCAGTTGTGGTGGCAGGGGCCACCCTCAGATCAGGAGTTACCTGAGCTGATGCAACAGTGCAGCATTCAAAACCAGGACTAGAGGCGTGTGTGCTCTGCAAGCTCACAGTAAAAGCTCATTTCTCTGTTCAACCAGCAGTCAAACACTGCTGAATGATGTTTAGTATGTACTATCTCATACTGCAATGGCTAGTTATGGAATAGCACTTCTGGATGGGACCGTAACTTCCACCCAGAAATGATGCAGAGGCTGAGCACTGCATTTTAGCAACGCAAAATCCTTTTTAGACTAACAAAGCTGCGCTGCTTTCAGCTATTAGCAATCACAATAACCTCTCAGGGAGTCTTGCTTTCTTTTAGTGTAGAAGAACAGCAGTTTATGTTAAATAAGGAGAAAACCCCCAGCATTTCCTCGCAGATGGTTTGGAGTTATGCCAGGAGCATCTGAGGATGGGGAAGGCAGTCACGCTCAGTGCTTTGATGCTCGCTGACAGGCACTGCACCAGAGAAAAAAGCACAGCATCCCTTTTGAATTACCATGTGTGAATTACTGTATCAAAGTAATTCGAACACTGACACCTTCAAGTGAACATGACACCAGCTGTGTTTTGGTTGGTGTAGCGGGGGGGTCGGACAAGGTGATCTCCAGAGTTCCCTTTGAACCCCAGTCACTCTGTGGTTTGTAGGCAAGCACATAAAGGTATTTAGAGCCAAAGCCAGAAAGGTTTCGGCTTTCTGTGCCATGTAGCCGAGCCTCCAGCTGCCAGAGTAGGACCTGCAGCCCCAAGATAAGCTGCTGGTCCAAGCACCCAGAGAGATGGGGACAGCTCCCCTGGAAGAAGCCAGGCAGCAGAGGAAGCACTGTGTGACCTGAGGAGGGCTGGGGAAGGATGCTGGTGCTCAGGGCTGCTCTCTTGATCTGAGTACCTTTCTTTATACTCCCAGCCATGAATACTCTTAATGGTTAAAGTCAGTAACACAGACACTTGATTTACATACAAAGGGGTGCCAGAGTCCACTGGGACTTCCTCAATATGCAGGTTTAAGCATTTTTCTGTTCAAGATTACTATAAAAAGTGTAAAACATCTTCCTAGAATCATCATAGTGTGGTTTGGAAGTGACCTTAATGGTCATCTCATTCTGACCCCCATGCCATGGGCAGGGACATCTTCCAGTAGACCAAGTTGCTCAAAGCTCCATCCTTGAACAATTCCAGGGATGGGGCATCCATAGCTCTCATGGGCAACCTGTGCCCGTGCCTCACCACCCTCACAGTGAAGAATTTCTTCCTAGTATCTAATCTAAACCTGACATTTTTAGTTTAGTGATGAAAAAAATGTCAGTCTCTAGAAAAAAAAAAAATCCAGAACAACTTTCCTCTTGGGAGCATGAAAGGCACTTTATATGACGCAATAAGATAAATCTTATCTGAGGTCATTTCTGGAATTACATGCCTCATGGTGGGCAGGACTTATCCTACTACAGCACTTTCTCAAGATGGGAACTTAACTCTCCAAGCCCCGTTCAAATGCTGCGTTAATCTGCATCACGGGGTAAGTCATCTGCCACTTCATGCTCAGAATGTGCAGGCAAGATAAACACTTGATATTCACCTAAAAGCGAATCATAAAGTACATATGGGAATTTCACGTAGTTCAGGAGATGACAGAAGCTGACTGGAAGCTCCAGGTCCTTGCTCTAGAGGACTGAGAGGTCCCTTAAGAGAAACTACAAAGGAAGACCTTGGTCCAGATCTGTGATAAATTTTAGCAGAACCAGCCCTGAAATAAGCATTTCTTTTAAACTTTCAGTCTCCAAAGTCTCTCAATAGAAAAACCTGAACTGAGTTCAGAGTATTTGTAAGTGACTCTGTAAGAGGAGCTACTGCAGCTCCCGTTCCTACCACACTCTAGCATTACACTTCAGCACTAAAACTGATTGTACTGACACATGTACACCTCTCAGAATCCACATTCTGACAGAGGCACCTGAATGGCATTGTCAAGGCTTCATATCAAAAACCTGTCCTGCCCCTACTCCTACTGAGAAGACAAGGAAAACACTCTGAAGCTCAGTGATGAAGCGGGTCCTTCGTTATTGTTCTCTGGGTATCACATAATCCAAATAATTCACTCGGTAAGAGGGAGAAATCGAGACAGCAGTTGAAAAAAATTCAATTGTATTTAATATTTAAATGGCTAAGGCTTTCACTGCTACACAAATTGGTTGATGAGTTCTAGTGAAATAAAAGATGATTTAAGTACAAAAGCCAGAGGAAAAAAATGCTCACGCTTTCCAGAGGCAATGAGGTATTTTAACTATACAAAGCCTGAACGTCCCAAACCACTTGCGGATCTTCTCCTCTGCACTGTGGTCTCTGCTGAATGTTTGGCATTCAATAGTTCTCTCCTTCTGTGTGTGCTTCTCAAGAGGCCAAGGAAAAGTGCATAACCATCTTTAAGGATTAAGAGCTTGTTACATCTCTTCTGCCACATTTGAACAAAACGTTCAACCACTTTCTCAAGTCAGTCTGACATATGGTGGAGGTTTGGATGTGTCTTCCTCTGCATCCACATCCTGGGCTGGAAACCGATCTGGGAAGTTGAAAATCCTGCCCCCAGGGCCTGTGTGGGGAGGGAAAGAGGAAACCATTAAACCTGGTGTAGACACCTGCACAAAATCCTAAATTCCTTTTGGCTCCGTTTTGGTCATGAGGATTTTGGCCTGGGATGTAAAGCTTTTTCAGAATGTTCCTTCCACATCCCTGGGGTACTCACTTTGTACAGCACAAACCATTTCCACAGCCTGATTTTGGTCCTCAGTAGGTTGCAACCATTCCTGTGAAAGAAACAGCACCATCAAATACCTCATCTGTGAATTTGTTCAAGATACACATGAATTCCTTTTAAAAGTCTGTGCATTCTACTCCTCCTAACAAGTTTTAGCTTGAAAGTTTACAGCAACCTCACATTACCCACTTAGTGTCTTGAGTCAAGGACAGCTGCCTCGTGGCCTGGACCCATTATTCCCTTACCAAATCAGATGATCAGAGGTGCAGGTTTAATAACACAGCATAGAATCACTCTAGCAGAGAAGTAGCTGGTATTTACTGAGCTCACTTAGCAGAGACCTACAGCCTGTGCCCCATCACTTGAGGCAGAGTCCTTATAAATCAGCAGTAAATGTGGCATGTCGTCATCCCCCCTACACTTCACACACAGTGCAGGAGATATTTTTATTGCTGAATTTGAAGTTCTAGTGTATAAGTACCAGTGAATCTTTGAAATACTGTATCAAGAGCAAGTGTTGGTTTAAGGGTGAGAGGAGCAGTTTTTGAGGAATTCATAAGAACTGGGACCACAGTACCAAAAATGGTTTGGAAAACAGAGATAACTTATGTTAAGTCTTACGTTAGACTGTAAATAAGAGGGAAGTAGTAAAAGAAAAAAAAATTAGGAAGTATAAACTTCTTCTAATATCCACTTAATTTCTTAGAATTAGCCCTGGGTGACTGAGGTAGAGCTGAGACTAGGTTTATAGAAGAGAAACACATCTTCTCCCCCATTTTTTCTCCCCCTCCCACCCACCCTCAGCAGAAACAAACTTGTGCCCTGGCCTCCTCACTCACCATCCCAGTCACACTGTCGTAGCAGGAGCAGCGTGGAAGGCTCCGGCACCCCAAGTAAGCCATGGCCAGCACGAAAAAGGCACTGCAGATAGATGCAGCCAGCATGGCTATGTTAGCACCCTTGACTACCTTACTGAGTATGAACCTCTGCAAACAGAAAAGGAGATGTTAAAGTCGCATTCAAAAAGTGAAACTCTCCACCAAAAATAATCTAATGACTGCAAGAACGCTGAGATTGCATCGTAGGAGATTGATTTGTAGTCAGTGTTACTAAAGGCTTTTCTTTCTGCGTTCTGGAGGACAAGACAAGTGGGACCCTCAAACAGAACAAGGAATAAGGTCTCTGTTTAAATGTGAGATGCTGTGCAATGGCATCAGGTTTGGAAATAGCTTTAACCATGAGTAGACACCCAAGGAACGGCTGCTCTTCTTCACACTGAAAATGAGAATTCTCTTCTTGCTGTTCTGCACCTTAGCAGCCTGACATTTTGATTTGTCCTGCAGTAAACTAATGGTCAGCTTCATCTACCTGGGATGCCTTCACCCCCACAGAGAGCCATTGCTTGTACCAGATTTGAGGCATAAAAGGGCTAACTCATTCCCTCTCTTCAGCTTTACTGAGGAGGATACACTTGAAATAATACCCAGGTTTAACCAGCTGACCTGGAACTGCTGTAACTTTATCACCTAAAGTGCATGATGGAAAGGATTCAAGCCTAGCGGTCGCTGTCCCAAACCAGGTCAGGGATACAGTCAGCACTTCTTCATGAGCAGCACGAGTATTTTTTTCATGGCTCAATCCACACCCTTTCGCACTCAGAAGCAATAGCAGCTAACCCAGCCTGGAAGTCTGGTTCTGTCTGTAAATTGTTCCTGGTACTGTTTGCAGATTAAGGGTGTCAAGTTCCCTAGAAATAATCACGGTATCAATACTTACAGTGTGGATAACATGGACTGGGGCAGAACTCAGCTCCTCCTCTTCACCATAGTTCAGCGTAAAGGAGCTGTAACCTATTACGATGAGGATGGCAACACAAGAGATTATGGAAGCAACTATCAGTACATTCACCTAGACAGAGAATTTTAGGGAGAAAAAGAATTAAAGCTATCCTATGGCAAATATACTAGCAAGCATTATAATTACTAACTTTTGACCTCCCATAAAACTACCCAGTAGCAACAGTCACTAGGAAGCCAAACACAAACAAGTAAAAGGTTTCCAGGATACCGAATTTCTGAGCTACAGCTGAGTGCCAAATCTTAATCACAGGTGCTACCCCAAGACTCTGTCCTTAGAGATCTTGTATTTACATCCAATATCCCCCCTTTTGGTTTACATGGCAGGAGAGACCTGCCCAGAAAATGCAAGCCTTTGTTTCCTATTTTAGTGTAAACAGTCCTTATCAACATGAGGGACCACCAAAAGAAAAGCATTCAAAACCAAGTGCTTCTGCAGATTTTTGCTTGTTATTAGACCCAGTGCCTGTCTGCTGCAGCAGAAAGCAAGGTAACACTGCATCCTCCTTTTGCTTATGAACACAGCAGCTCTTCTGCAGGCAGACTCAAAGAAATAGGCTCTTAATCCTGCAGAAAGACCAGTCAGCTCACTCCCTACTCAAATAGTTTTTGTTTGCCCCAGTATCTTGCCCCCGCCCCATACACACACAACCACCCACCCATCCGCCCCTCCAGCTTACAAGGATTGGATTCTTCCTCTGAGAGGAAAACAAAGCCAGCACGCCTGGGACTCCCATCACCTGTGGAGCACAAAAGCAGTTGGTAACTGGAAGACCAGTATCAGATTCCAGAGATAAACTACTACAGCATAGATGAAAAGCCCTTGTTTTCAAGGCTTGGATTCCAGTAACTGCTGGGCCAGAAATGGGAAGAGAATTGCTCATTTCTTCTGTTTTCCTCTGCAGCATCTCCAGGACATACATAACATGCATCTTGCCCACTTGCTTTCCTCATGGCCTTGCCACCTCAGATCAGAGCTTTATGGCTCTGCCTAAATAATGAAACTGATGGAATAAGGCTGATTTAAAGTGCTAAAAATGTGCACTGTTTTCCCAAGTCCACACGCCTCTTGCAGAGGAAAAAAAGAAATTACTGGAAGGAGATGGGCACCCCCTGGACCGAAGAGAGCTCTTCAGCACGAGTTCCTTGCAGTGTGGCTTATCTGGGTAACATCAGGGTCCTGAATGCCCAGGAGCAGGGACCTCCACTGCCTGCTCTCTGCTGCAGCACAGAGGATTAGGGCCACTGTGCTGTGGGACACAGATCATCGCCCAGATGTTCATCTACCTGACGTGAGGACAAAGTGCTCCCCTCCTCATCTTTGGTGGCTTCTCTGTGGTCACCATGCTTCTGCAACAAAACCCCTGTCACTTGTCACTCTGCCCCATTTCCTACGTTATCCAGCAGAAATTAATTTAATTTAGCTCCTTCAGAGGGAAGTCCGCTTGCACTCTTCTGCCTAAATCATGATAAGGAAACTTTAAGTGGGTTCAAAGCAGAAAACCAGAGAACAGTTGGCAAGAAATCCTGGCTTCCCTCCTACTCCCAATATCAGTGCTAGAAGACAGCAGTGGGTGAAAAAAAAGCACAGAAAATACAGCACAACTTTACCATCCCAGCCCAAATTGGAGCTCTGGTTCTGCCCAGCTGAGACTCTGTTCTGAAAATGCTATCTAAGAACCCGCTGACGACGCACACCGTGCTGAGGGCTATCTGGAACATCCCCAGCACCACCATGTTCCTCTGGTTGAAGATGAAGTATCGATAGCGATCCATTCTGCTCCGAGTCACACATAAATCACAGAGGCTGGCAAGCGGCGCAGCGGCCTTCCAGGGGAGGAAGAAGAGCTTTTCCTAGGCAAGAGAGAAAGAGAAAAAACAGGAGCATCAGCACCCGGGGGGCACCGGCTGGCGCGCAGGACCTGTACCAGGAGTACAGAGTTCATCTGTCTGAGCCAACCGTGACAGCGACCAAAGGTGAGCGGCCCTTTGGGAAATCCCTGGGCGTGCTGCCTGGCAGCTGCCCGGGACACCGCTCCTGACGCTTCTGGAGAGGAAGGCGAGACCGCCACCTCCACCGCTGTCCTTTTCCCTGCGGGGTTTCCGCTGCCCGGAGCGGCGCGGTGGGGGAGAGGGGTGCCCGGGTTCTGTTCCATTTGGAAGTTAAGCTCCGCACCTCTCCAGGAAAGCGCCAGGAAAAAACAGAGCCCCAGCTCTGCCACCTCGCTGGTGCCGGTCACCGAACGGCTCAGAGAGCCCTGTGTTCCGTGTCCTCCCGTGTCCCGTCCCGCTTCCCGCCGGCCGGGAGGCGCCGCCGCGCCCTGCGAGCTCACCTGCGGCGGGCAGGGACCGGGAAAGCTCCGGCTCCGCTTCCGGGGGAAAAGAGTCCCGAGTGCTTTCCGGGCGAAAAAGAGCCCGGCGAGGGCCGGGAGAGTCTCCGCAGTGCCGGCCGGGTGCCGTGGAGGGACGGGGCTGATCCTGATCCTGCTCCGCCCGCCTCGCCCTCCGCAGGGAGCGGCCGCCCCCGCCCCGGCCCCGGGCGGGACCGCGGGCTGCCCCGGGCACTGCTGGGCTGCCGGGACCGGGCACTCCACCCATCCCTTCTCGATAGCAATTTTTTTCCCCCACCAGCTGCAGCCTTAAGTGCTGCTTCTCACGGCACACACGTGCACAGTGCTGCGAGTTGGGGAAGCCCGTACTGGTTGCCTGGGAAGGTTTTTGGATGTCCCATCCCTGGAAGTGTTGTAAGGCCGGGTTGAATGGGGCTTTGAGTGAGTAACCTGGTTTAGTGAAAGGAGTCCCTGCCCATGAGAGAGGGGTGGAAATAGATGATCTTTGAGGTCCCCCTTCCAATCTAAACCATTTTGTGATTGTAAGATTCCATGAAACCCTCCCTTTATGTGCTGTTAATGACTTAGCGTGATCAGTTTGTTTGGACTGACAGGCAAAGGCTCCCCCCTGGCATGTCAGTGCCCACTTTCCATTGGAAACAGCACAAAATCCTGGGCTGTTCAACAGAAGGGGACTGGGGGGTGCTATTTGATAGAACTGAGCCAGCAGTGTGCCCAGGTGGCCAAGAAGGCCTAGGGCATCCTGACCTGTATCAGCAAGTGAGGCTAGTAGGACCAGGGAAGTGACCATCCCCCTGTACTTGGCACTGGAGAGGCCACACCTCGAGTGCTGTGTTAAGTTTTGCGCCCCTCACTTTAAAAAAGGACACTGAGGTGTTGGAGTGTGTTCAGAGAAGGACAACAAGGCTTGTGAAGGGTCTAGAAAACATGTCTTATGAGGAAGGGCTGAGGGAGCTGGGTTTGTTCAGCCTGGAGAAGAGGAGGCTCAGGGGGGACCTCACTGTTCTCTACAACTCCCTGAAATGAGGATGCAGTGAGGTGGGGTTGGTCTCTTCTTACCATGCCTGCAGCAAGAGGACCAGAATAAATGGCCTTAAGCTGAGACAGGGGAGATTCAGATTAGATAATAATTACAGCCCACACACACACTGTTAGGGTGGCCAGGCATTGGAAAAGGTTGCCCAGGGAGTAGTGGAGTCACCATTCCTGGAGGTGTGTAAGAGACATCTGGCATTGGGTAATACTGTTTAGCGGTTTGGGCAGTACAGTGGTAGTGCTGGGGGGGATGGTTGGACTGGATGATCTCGAGGGTCTCCTCCAATGTGGATGATTCTATGATTCTCTCCCACCCAAGCACCTCCAGCCAAATCCTAACAAGCACGGCACTAAGGCCTGCCTGCTCCTTAAACATTTTTAGGAAATCAATTCACAGGTTAGGTACCATTTCTTTAAATAAACTCACTGCACCTCCACAGTGGGTTATTACACCGGTGTAGGACTGGAACACAGCCAGTTTGGGTGAAGCCAGCCCATGGCACCATCCACAATCCCAGTGTCATTTCCCACACAGCTTGCAAATACACCTCAAGCACCCATCCTTCCAGTTCAAGGACTGTGAAGGTTCAAGTGGCAATGTCAAGGCCAAACAAGTCCTCTCTGCAACTTTGACCCTAGAGGGGGTCCAGACATCCCCTCTGTAGAAAGGGGAGGGCACAGCACTGCATGTAGGCATGAGAGGCCAAGATCACAAGGTGCGAATAAACCTACAGAAGATGGCAAGGCAGGCACTGAAGCACTGAGGAAGGCAGGACAGCACTGAAAGCACCGTCCCTTTCCTCACCACTCACCCAGTAGGACGTGGACATGGAATTAGGAGACAGGAGTAGGTGACCTGCCTGAAAGGCACGACTGCTGCACATCCTACTGCCTCAGAGAAAAACACACCCAGTGCACATTCACATGTCTTAAAATACAACTGTTAAAAGACACTTTGGCACATACAAGGAGGATGTTCTTCCAAACCACAACACAACTGAAGCCCATTTTATGTGCACTGAAATAGAGAGAAGAGAATAAGCAGCAGAGGTGCCAGGAAAAAAAACAACAATGAGGTGGTGTCAGGAGTGTTCTGCTTTTCATTCACTATTTATATAACATGGCCTAGAAGTGTGCTAACTGTGTGAAATCCTGCTCCCCTGCATCAGCAACAACCGTGGCCACCCAGCACACACAAGCCTGGGGGAGAGGTCAGAGGATGCCCAAAAATGTGACACGCAAATAACAAGGAGAGACAACACCTTTTTGTTGAATATTTTAATATCTGCATTGCCTTCATAGCGCAATTAAAGCAATCTTTAAAATTCACTTATTACAAATGTTTGTCAAGTCTGTTTTTCCCCAGAAACACTTTTCTTGCTTCCTTGCACATACGCCCAAACACACTATAAAAACCTCATTCATAACATCAAAAGAAGGGCAATCATCATTCATGTAAACATCTTCCTTAGAGTTATCCATTTTTAAAAGTCATGAATAAACCTACAGATGTTCAGTAAGGCTCATAGTTCGAGTACAAATGTCATAAAACACCTATCAAGTACTGTATACAAGTTAAATACTCCGGGGTTAACCGCTAACACGTGTATAAGCTTACCCCAAAGATTATTCTTTAGCACTTAGTTCTTCAGAACAGAGACACCCAGTAATTATGGGCTAAAGAGTATTAAAATAGCAGAAGGCCCAGCAGAAACTGTTAAGTAATACACAATTTTAGTCTGGATCTTAGCTCAGAGTTAAATTCATTACAGTTACAGTAGGAAAAGTTTTCTAGGAGGGAATCTGCAGAAAGGAGGGATGGGTCGTTTCTACAATATCATGAAGGGACGAGCTGAGAGGTATGTCTTGAAGATGTGACTAGCCTTGCTATTGCAATTATTTATGGCAGCTGCTTGTAATGCTGCATAAATACTTTCCCAAATAGCAGAAACAACCATTTGTAATTCTAAGGATCATTTGTAGCATCTCCCCTTAAAAAAATAATGATCTACTTACTGGTATTCAATTACACGTGCATCTTACAAAAAGACATCCTTTTAAATTTGGTTTAGATCTTACTGGAACTTTTTTGTTTAAATATTCATTCTACCATGAAAATATTTCATACAAACATCATTTTACATACAAACGTTAAAACCTGTGAAGAGGGTCTTCCCACACTCGTGATTTTATGGCTTGAGCATTTAATTGCTTACAATTTTTGTATATATATTTCTCCTAGGGGGAAAAGATATAGTTACAGTAAAACTGGTAAGAGGAAAAGAGCAGGAGCTTCCATTGCCCGAAGACAGAAAAGCGCCAAGAGGAGGGTCCATTCAACAGATAGTGACCTTAGTGTTCAAAACCTTTGATCTGGGGCAAGTAAACATGCACTCATTCTTGCACCTTTTTATTTTATTTTATTTTATTTATTATTTAAAAATCCCTTATAAGACTGCTTAGAAATTCGTTGTCCAAAAAATATAGAGTTCTCGTATTTCCAGTACACAAAGCAAAAGGAACAAGTTCACCCCAGGGCACGGGTGAGCGTGGAGCCCACTGGCACCCATGGGGTAAAGCTGCCCCTGCGCCCGCTCTCCTCGCCCAGATGCTCTCAGCACACGACAGCGCAGCACTAAGTGAGGAAGAGGCGTCTAATGCAGCACCCCAGCATGTAAGGAGACACTTCAGTAGCATTGTTTCCAAAACAGTTTGGTTTTTCTTAAGTGCATGGAGGTGAATTCCTCAGGCACCCACAGCTCCAGCGATTCTGCTGTGCCACAGGAAAAGGAAGCCACAGGTAAGCGGCTCTGTACGACACGTTACCTCATCGCAACGGCAGCAGTTTCCTAGAAGACTATCAAATTGAGTGAAAGGACAAAAATCACAGAGGTCTCTGGGACAGAAGGGACACTGTACAGTCCCTGGTGCAACCCAAGCAGCGAGCACTGGTTTTGACTGAAGGACAGGGGCAGCCAGCTGGGAAGGAAACAGAAAAGTGGTAATTTCTACCATTTCTCGGTTTCTCTCACCAGACAGGACACTTTGGCTGTTCTGCTCCTCCAGTGCCTGGCAGAGGGTGGTGATATCCCTGATGGAGCTCTTGCTTACACACCAGCAACAGGCTACAACCCTGGGAAATAAACCCCAGCCACTGCCAGCTGTGTGCAAGGCTGCAAACTCTGCACCCGGAAGGGCTGCGCTGAGGTGAAGGCTGCCCAGTCGCTCCCAAAACACGCAGCCCCGCATGGCCGAGCAGCTGACCTCCAAAAGGTCCCAAAACCTGCACAGGGAGTTGCCCAGGAGTGATTAAAAGCATGGGCTGTCATAGTGGGTACCACTGCAACTGTGGAAAAAGTCAAAAAGCTCTCGCAGCTTTCACTCCCACTGCTGAAGAGCATTATCCACATATTTCCTTTGACTTTTTCAACAGTTAAGAATTGCAGGTCTTTAAGAAGGTTAGGTTTGTATAATTACTACAAAAATAAAACCAAAACCAAAAAAGGAAGAAAAGCCTTTTTAGATTTGTGAAGGAAAACCAGGTATTTTAATAGATCCCCAAAAGTAAAATTATAGCTCGAGACTCAACTTGAGACACCCCCTCCACGGCTTAAGCCCTTTTCCTTCTTATCCAGAGGAGTGACCCAGCAGCAGGTAGCTCTCAGATCTAACTTCTTGTGCTTTCTTGTCTCCAAGATTATTCACTTCTCCAGAAAACTGGGCTTCTTGTGCTGCCATGGCAGGAAGATCCACTTCAGATTTAGTTTTCTTTTTCAGAGACAATCAGCAGCCCCTAATACAGGCTGATGCAGGCTCCTTCTCATAAGGGAACTCAGGTAACAACCCTCCCATCACAGAGGGGCCACGTGCAGCACTGCAGACTAAAGGCAGATGTTGGGAACTGATCCCTACCTGAAAAGAGCAGCAATTCCAGGTTCTCCTATCCTAGTCACAAGAAGAATTCTGAGAGCCAGCTGCTCACCCAGGCTCAGCTGACAGGCATCAGCTCTCCTCCCAGTTACTGTGCTGACAGAATAGGTCCTTGGCCAGACTCTAGAGAAGTGGAGCTTCTTTTATTAT